AATCTAGTAATTGAATTGCTTAGTGACCTCCTACAGCCTATATATCTTATCGTCACAGTTGTGTCATCTCAAAAGTCTAGAATGAAAACAAAACAAAATCCGTTCAACTCTTTCATGGTGGAAAGAAAGAATTAAAGTGAAAGAGAATTAGGGCATGGATTCAAATGATAGAAGTATGGATACATGTGTGTCTGTTCTTGAGGCACCTTGTCTTACCAGCAGTTCTATGAGGCCTATACAATTTAGAAAGAGGAAAAATCATATCAATAAATCAAAGCGTGAACGCTTGCTTTAGACTTCTTGATTATCAATTCGAGAGAAGATATCAGAGAAAATATTTTGTCTTATTTTCGGAACAACATTAATAATTATGTACTAATTTTAAAAGCCGTATTGGCCTAGTTATTAGTGTTGTTCTGAAAATAAGATAGATTTTTTTCTCTAATATCCCCTCTTAGATTGATTATCGAGGAATCCACTAAACACGCCTTCATGTTTTAATTCACCTGTGTGAGTTTAATTTTCCTCTTTTTAGGTCGCACAGTCCTTGCAGAACTGCCAGAAAGAGAAGGTGCCTCAAGGCAAGCACACATGCATCCATACACTTATCAATGGAATCCTTGCTCAAGCATTCTCGCATTTTAGTTCTTTTCTTCTCCGTGGAAGAGTTGAATGAATATCGTTTTAGGTTCAATCTTATCTTTTGAGGCGGCATAACTAAAGCGAAAAGATCTGTAAAATTTAGGACTTTTCTAAGCAATCCAGTTATAGAATTATTCATGTTGTTCGAAAACACATAATCTTTTTTACTATCTTTTATTGAATTGATTATCTCGGAATCCACAAACAAGCCTCCATACTTTGATTCATCAATGTGTGTTTTCCTCTTCTATTTCTTCTTTCTTCCACTTTTGTTCTTTTCTTTTTCAAGATCATGGCAGAGTTGAACGGATATTGATTTATATTCAATCTTATGACTTTTGAAGCGGCGCAACGAAGGGAAAAAGTTTGGTAGGGTTTGGGGTTCTCTTAGCAATTCAATTACTTTATTACACATTGAAAAAGAGTAATAAACGCGAGCTTTTATGTTCATTCGAAGAAAAATTTCAAAAAAGAAATGAGACAGTTGTTAATAAAAATGTATTTGAAGAAATGAAGCAATATAATTCCAATGTATTAATAGCTAACACATTTTATATTCATTGAAGTCATAGTTAGATGGATGAGATTTCTTAATTCTTAACAAAAAGTCTCCGCTTCGAACTCTAGTAATAAAGAAATTTCTAGTAGGAAGTATTTGTCGCAAAATTATCAAATCAGTAAATACCAATGACAAAAAGAAATTTTTGACTCCCCGTATTAGTTACAAAAATGTCACATAAAATGGCAGCATTATTTTGTGATAGCGAATGAAAATATAGCATAAAGATTCATTCATCTAAACTGTTCGTCTATTTGTATGATTCAAACCTAAGGAAAAATCTGTGAACATAATGAAGCCTATAAACTTGTTAGGTGTTTGTCCAGATTTTTTTACCATAATTGATTTTCCTATTTCACGAAGGAAAGGACAACATATTTTTCATAATTGAGTTAAATCTTTTATAAAAGGAAAATATAATTCTTCCATATTTGGCTAGTCCCTTTTTCTTGTAGGAAAAGGTTTGGAGTTCTATAAATTAAGGATCCGCCCTTCTCATTCAGTAGCATCCATAATATAGCCATAAGGGGCTTGAGAGTCTTGTTTAGGGGGAGAACTTGACAGGACAAGTGTTAGTGTGCCACTTGTATTTGCCTCTTCGTGAGGTTGTTCTCTCGATATTTTGTACTCTCCTTTATTATAGTGGATTGCTCATATCCGCCGTGGATGTAGATCAGTTGACCGAACCACGTTAAATGTTTGTGTCTCTTTTAGTAGATTTCTCTTTTGTTGTTGGATTTATCATCGTTCAAGATTTGCTTTGCTAGCTTCCGCAAGACACCTAATTTTTTCGGACATAACAAAACTAACCCCGCCAAGAGGGGTCGTTCAGATGGTCGGCCCACCACCTACAATCCCAAGGTTTGGGGTTCCCTTGGCAATTCAATTACTTTATTACACATTGAAAGTAATACTAAATCACATATTTTGAATTTGTTCTCCTAACTAAGCGCAAAATTAAAATAAGCCCCAAATTGATAATTCTTGACTAAATTTCTTTTTACATATATAATTCTATTTATATGTACTAGCCTTAAGGTACACGCTTTGCGCGTGAACCTTTCTCAATGACAATATAATTTTAAAAATCACATACATTATTAAATAATATGTTTGAGTTATAAGATAAAAATTAAAGCGTAAGTATAAGTTCTTGAGAATGATGAATACTGATCATATTTAGCTAGCTCGATAAATGAAGAAATCTTACCCCATAGAAGTCCTCTAATATCTCGTTGTATTTCAACGATATATATATATATATATATATATATATATATATATATATATATATATATATATATATATCCTTTACTTTTCAATCGACTTTTTAATACAAAAGCCAAACTGTTAAATTTTCTCCTTGATATGTAAGTCTATTACTTTTTTAATTATAAATTATAGATATTAAAGAAATAAGTAGTTAATAAGTAAAAGTAATATGCATTATAATTTTTTGTAACAGATTTATATATGTTATTCTAATTAATTTTAAATTTTAATATTATTAGATCATCTAACATATTTCAAATTAAGAAATAGTTAATAATTTTAAAATTTTTATTTGATTTCAAAGTGCGAATATTTTAGTATAATACAACAATGTGGTTCCTACGTATTGTTAAGCATTGTACTATTAATAATTCTGATGAAAATACAACTGTAAAAATATTAATTTAAAAAGGAAAAAAAAGGATGCAGGCTACAATTATTTAATTTGAGTGAATCTAAAACATTTATTTGTATTTTATTTTTAGTTTTGAAATTGAGGAAACGGAAGCCGAAGTGCAAAATGAAAAAAAGTCAAAGACTAATCTTACTCTTCCTTTCCTTTTCTTTTTTAAATTGTTATTACTTTTCCTTTACAAATATGAATATGACACATAATTCAAATAAGGAGGGTTTTGGTACATAAAATATAGTTGATTTTGAAGTCCTAAGTATTAGGATAATAATTAAATGATTATTTCTAAATATTGAAAAAAATAATTAAAATAACTATTTTGTTTAGTGTGAAAGTTCTTTTTTAAATGGTAAAAAAGGCGAACAACATTTCGTTAAGGAGCTTCGTGCTTTTAATATAGTATATAAATATCTATATATATATTAAAGCAAAGAAGTTTGCCTTCTCATTTAGCCAAGTGGCAAATTATTAGAAAGCCAAGTGGCAACATATTCAAATGACACATGGCCACTTAATTTATTAAGACTTATTGTTATTAAAATGCAAGTTTAACACCCACATTTTTCGGCATAATTGACTGTTGAAGATAACGGCCATAATCCCAATCTATAAGTATGACAAAACCTTGCAATTATATACCTATAGTTAAATATTAATTAAATATTATTAAATATAGAGATAATTTGGACTGATTATATTTGGGATTGCAATTAGGCCTAAAATATTATTAAATATAGAGATAATTTTGACTGATTATTTTAAATATTAATTAAAACCTTACAATTATGCCGAAAAATCTGGACTGATTATATATGGGATTGCAATTAGGCCGAAAATTTGGACTCAATTACGAGTTATCTCTATATTTAATAATATTTAATTAATATTTAATTAATGTTTAACTATAGGTATGAGAAAACCTTGCAATTAGGCCAAACAATCTGGACTGATTATATTTGGGATTGCAATTAGGCCGAAAAATTGGATTCAATTACGAGTAATCTCTATATTTAATAATGTAGAATATTTAATTATAAAAATATTTAATAACGTATATTAAAACTTAAATGGGGAATCCCATTTATAACAAAAATTGGGTCAGACCCTCCAAAACGCGTATCCCATTTTCTTCGCTTCCTCACTAAAGCTGATCTCTCTATATTAATTGTGAATTTCAAAAAGCTTAAACCTAACCCGAGAAATTTGTTCAGCAATTTTGTTGGTATCCCATTTTCTTCGCTTCCTCATTAAAGTTGATCTCTCTATACTAATTGGGAATTTCAAAAAGCTTAAACCTAACCCGAAAAATCTGTTCCGCAATTTTGTTAGATTTTGAAATGAAGGGAGAAGAGGAGCCATTCAAATGTGAAATTAGTCCATCGCGAGGAGACATTCAAATGCGAAGATGATTTTTCCGGTCGTTTTTTCTCATCTTTTTCGCATCTGCATTCTAGAGAGATGACGACTTCTACGCCAGGTATTTCGGGATAACAACTAATTGTGGAATCGCAAATGCATATGCCTCTATTTTACGGATCTTTTTATGGAAAATTTATTTTTCCATACAAAAATTACCGCATTCCGTATATATCTATAGATATATATAGTAACTGAATTTTTTTGTAATTACTTACTTAGTTATTTAGGATTTATTTTTATATATATATATATATATATATATATATATATACACGGCATTTGACGCCACTTGACAGACAATCCTCTTATAAAGTTTTGTCGAAGAAGAAATATGACGGGATTTGACTATATTTGCAATATATCGAGTATCAAGATGAATTGGAATTTGAAGGTACGAATAGTGAGATTGTGGCACGTTCCAGACCGCGACAAACCAGAAAACACCGTCTCCCTTGAATTAATTATTCAAGACGAAAATGTGCATTCGTTTTTAGTTGCACTTATTTTTTCATAAAAGTTTGACTATAACACTGTACAACTGAGTATTTGTCTGAATCAATATTAATTATGAATTTTTTGATTCTAGGGGGATCTTATTCATGCGACTATTGGTCGGTCACTTATACGTATGTTCAAACCAAAGATAAAAGAATTGGGTTTGTACGTTATGAAGAACTTTGTGGTTAGACCAAATTATACGAAACTTAAATACACGCGGCATAAATTGAAGTTGGCATTTACTCATAAGACGATTGTAGAGGAAGCAAATGATCATCTTTTTGGTATGAGTATCTTCGACTTAAAACCTTATGAGTATTTGATAAACAAAATTGATGTTGAAGAAAGTGAACTCTTCGGTAAGTATTCAATTCGCAGTTCTTTTATTTGAATGTCTTATCAACTTTCTCCTGATTATTTTTTTAAATTATTATAGATGTCATTGGAGAGGTTGTAAGTTATGGTGAGGTAGAATCCCATAACCAAGGTGATAAAACCAGCAATTATATGAATGTGGAACTTGAAGATCATGAGTAAGATTGCGTCTATGAATTTACTTTGTTATATATTTTAACATGATTACTTATCGTTGTCTGATTAAGTTGTTATATATTAACATGATTACTTATCGTTGTCTAATTAAGTTGTTATATAAATTACACAGGAGGAATAATATTTCGGCAATATTTTAGGGAGAATTCGTTGACCAAATCTTACCACATTTACAGGGATCACCCCATCAGCCGGTCATAATTGTTATGCAGTTGATAAAAGCTCACAAATTTCAAGGTATTTCTATTGTCTTGATGACATGGGATAATTTTTTTATGTTAATTTTTTGGTTCAGAAACTAAAGTTATATATGGGCAAATATTTTGTGCGTAATACTTGGCATGCCTCAAAGCTCTAGATTAACCCGGATCTTCCTCAAGCTATTGATTTTAAGTCCAGGTTAGCTATTTTCATAAATTAAGTTTATGTGGATACTACACAAATAACTGTTTATGGTTAAAACTAATACAAGCTTGCGTAAATACAGAATGGCAAGTGTCAATGAAGCTAACTTTGCCAGGATCAGTCAAATATCTTCTCAGCGTAGGTTATTCTGTTTCTGATGAGTTGGCTACTGGAACTGTAGAACTTAAAACTATTAGCGAATTGGTCGACTGCATGGAGGTGACTAATCTATTAAACTCCTTTAGTATTTAACTAATGTTATGTTGTGTATGTATAACACTGTTAGGTCTAAAAATACTTTTTGTTTTCCTAAATGTGCACATATATGTTTTTGGAATAACTGTTACGTAATTTTATGAGCATTTCATAATCTGAAACTTCACTAATAAAAAGAAGAAAGTTAGCAGAAATTCAGCAAGCAGCAGGGCATGTTAATGTAGAGAAATTCAGCAAGCAGCAGGGCACGGAATTCACACTTTCTTTACTGTTGTTGGGTAATAACATCTGAAATCTTCCCCTTAAGACTTAGAGCCCAAGCATCAACTCTTGGTGCAGTGGAACGCAGTGTTAGTAGTGTTGTGGTTGCAATGTCTTTCCTCTCTGTTTCTCGAATGAGTACAGTAGGAGGAACATTGTACAACTGAAATCCTAAATGCTTCTGTTCATGTGATATTCCCTTATGCATCTGAATGCTTACAGATTGAACTATTGAAGGTATCATTTAATGGAACTAATTTAATATCTATGCTTAGTTACTTATATTTATGGTTTTGGGACATAAATGGAATTTTTACAGCTTATGCTCTTGGCATTTATATATAGATTCCAACAATCAAATTTGCTACAACTTGACTTCTTTTCAGGAAGGACATATTTGGATTGTTGCGACTGTAGTAAATCTTCTACTGAAAAAGAATGGTCATATTTGGGGTGCAAGAGATGCTCGAAGAAGGTTGACAAAATTGGAAGTAAATTTTACTGCAAGAAATGTGATCGCCTTGATAGTTCTGCTACTCATAGGTTTGATAAGCTTCACTATTTACTTTGAAATAGAACTAAAGTTGCAAGTTACAAAAATAAGGACCAATTTTACTATAAAATATTAAATAAAACTAAAGTTTCAATTTCTTATTCTAAACGTGTCTTTCAGGTACAAGCTTCGAGTGCAAGTAATGGATCACACTGAACCAATATTAATAATTGTGATGTTCCAATATCGGCAATTGTTGAAAGTATATATCCAGATTTCTTTAACCATTCCAGTGACATTGATTACCTCCAGCAAAGAGCAATTCTTGCTCCGACTCTTGATATGGTTGAGTCGATCAATGAATATATGGTTTCACTCAATCATAGTCCTAAGAAGACATATTTGAGTTCTGATACGGCTTGTATGTCTAATCATTCTTTTTCAGCTTTGGAGCACGTACATACACCCGAATTCCTAAACAGTATTAAATGTTCTGGAATTCCAAATCACTCTATTACTTTGAAGGTTGGTGTTCCTGTGATGTTGTTGAGAAATATAGACCAGTCATCAGGATTGTGTAATAGCACGAGGTTGATCATCACAAGACTTGGAAATCGAGTTATTGAAGCCAAGATTTTATCGGGTAATATGGCTGGACAAAAAGTATTTATCCCGAGAATGACGTTGACGCCATCAGATGCAAGAATACCTTTTAAGTTCCAGCGAAGATAATTTCTAATTGTTGTATCTTTTGCCATGACAATTAATAAAAGTCAAGGCCAGTCATTGTCTCATGTGGGATTATTTTTGAAGAAGCCAGTATTTACTCATGGACAACTGTATGTTGCTCTTTCATGCGTGACGAGTAAAAAAGGGTTGAAGATTTTAGTTTATGATGATGATGGCCAAATAACGAATGAAGCTAGAAATGTGGTGTATAAAGAAGTTTTCCGTAATTTGGTTTGAGATGAATCTAGACATGATGGAATTATCAAGTATTTACAATAAATCAAGCAGTTAAAAAAATGGTACAACTTTTGACTTATAGGCGTCATGGCACAAATTAAAGCTATATGGACAGACTTTGTGTGATTGAGCACAAATAGTACTGTTATGTGAAAACTACATTCTCAAGCTGTGCATCCAGTGCTTGAAAAAGGACCTGCCAATGTTAATAATCAAAATTTGGAAAAGTAGATGAAACTTGAATGAGGAAATTGAAGTCGTAAGTAGATGAAAAACAGAACAATACAGTGATATTGGTGATCAACCAAANCTTCACAGGGAGTTGACAGCAAGCACTTTTATTCATGTTGCATACTAATTAACACTCTCTTTCTGAATATCTTACTAATTTTAATTAGTCAATCAGAATTCAGCCTAAACATCAAGGACAACTGCTGAGTGTCAGTGTTATTTAAATCTTTATACTGTCAATACTATTTAAATCGACGGGATTTACGTTTCTTTATATATTTACAGAGTTTACACAAGATATAAAGAAAGCAAATAACTTTACTTGAAAGAGGACTTGGAGATTTAAAATTGAAAAGTTGTGTAAGTTTGACATATACAAAAAATATACTCCTATGTATTTGTGTATAGCAGTATGTGTCTGTATACGGGTAAAACCAGGGCTAATGAGCACCCCGATTTTCCGGTGGGTCAAAAAGCGAGGACATAACTATATGGAATCGGAATCGAAGCTGGAAACTTCTTGTACTAAGGCCCGAACGGAGTGCTTGCCACTAGACCAAACAAGACAACAACCTCGAATTCGATACGAGCTCCAAGACCTCGGAAAGTGCTACACACGGTTGCATACGACTTAAAAAGGACCATGATACCCGCACCCAACCAGATATCACGGCATGAATCTCGCCCGATGTCGGTAGCATATCAGTAATTGATGTACAAAGATGATTTTTACCTTTTTTAGAATTGTACCAAGGGTAAAAGTCCCCTACTATATAAAGGGAAAGTTTTCTATTCCAAGACACATTGTAACACGCACAAGGCAATACAAACTTATTTCTTTGCTTTCTAGCTATAAAAAATTCTTATTTTGATCACTGGTCTTCATACACATTTGGCTCCGAATTGAGGGTCTGGTTGAGGGCAGAACTATTGTTAAGCTTAAATCCGAGCCTTAACTTAACATCACAACCGGTTTAGTTATTTATTTTATCTATGATTCATTTATCTAATATTCTTGATTACTTGTGGTGAATTAATCCACATATCCTTAAAATCGCATACAAGTTCAATTGTTATCCATTTTAAGAGTAAATAGTTTGGCGCCCACCGTAGGGCTAAGGATAATAGTGGTGGTCTGATATAAATATCCATAACACACTCTATTTTACGCTTGTTCTTTAAGGTTTCAAATTCAGGATAGCTTAAAAATGTCAAATTCCCAGTCTATTCACCTGAACATTGATGCTGAGTCCGGTCATCTTTCTGCTTATGATTTGCAGTTTCAGTTTTCTGCAGGTAATGAGGTGGACTTGATGTTCAGGAAATAATAGAGACTTTTTTTCTATATTTCTTTAGGAAGAAGTTGCTCTGAAGGCCTCAAATTGGACATTCAACCTTTTTGTTGTTTCTTTTAGTTTGGTAGAACTGTAGTTCATAAGACATAAGCATCGCCATGTTTTCTTTGCCGATTTTGTAGAAGTTGCTGCACAATTGAGAAGTTGTCTTCTTTTTCATCTAAAGATGGTAATGAATGGCTCAAGAAGATGGTAATGAATGGCTCAAGAGTCACAGTTGACACTCCAAGCATGGAGCAAATCATAGGTCCTACGATGTGTCGAAAATTCTTCACACCTCTGCTCAATAATGTGTAAGCAAGTAAGATATCCGATGATTGATCATCTTTGGTTCAATGGATGAAAGAAAAAACACATGTTCTCAGAGATTATAAATGTCTGCATGCGTAATATGGTTATAAATTCTAAAGTTGGATTATCTCCACAAAAGTTTATTAAGAACTTAAAATGACGATGCACATTGTGATTGATATATTAAGAGAATCTCACAAGGTCTCCTTCTGCTAAAATATTGTAACATAAAGATGCTCAAAGAGGTGGCTTTGGTTAATTTGTACGCTAGAATAATGAATTTTAAAGCAAAGACTAAAGTTGAAAGATTTATGCCCAAAAAGTAGACTAGAGAAAAATCTACATAGTTCTGTAAACTAAGAAATCACCCATGTACCAGTCATGAGTTGTGCCGATCAAACCACGGTCATATACAATCTTAAGAGTGTTAGGTCCATCTTTGGGTACAATTGAAATAGTTCAACAGTTGTGTAATAATACAGGAAAGATTTGGGTTTTCAGTTAGCTGAATAAATAATGAGAATGAGGCATACAAATTAGAACTAACATTATTGTTTACTTTATGTTCATTTTGCATTCTTGCATTTGTAGTGCATATTTTCACAGGCTACAGTGAACCTATGAATATCTTTATCACTTTTAACTCTTGGAATATTTCACAATTTGTCTCTCATTTCAAGAAAGTTACTACTGTCATACTACTTTCAATACAATTCAAATGACCAAATAATTAAGAGCAATATTATCATGCTAATATATTTTTTTTTATAATCCGCGCATCGCGCGGGTACGTATACTAGTAGATAGATATAGATATAAATATCAAATAATAAAACGCAAAATTCAAATTTTGTTCAAAGGATTGAGTTTGATCAATATGTCAACTTCTTTTACCCGCTTTCCCAGCCCACCAATATGACAAAAGAAAACAAGAGGGATGCATCTAATTGAAGAATATCTTGAGAAGATTTATGTTTATATATATAGTTCACACACTAATTGAGGATACCTTAAAAGGCACGTAATCTGCAATTGACAACAGTTCTAATACACAAGACATTAGGCGATAATAAAAACAGCAATAATTCCATTTATAGTCAATTTTGACAAATTGAAGAAGTGCAGTTAACATGTGTTGATTTTATATAAGTTCCACCGTTACTTGTTGATTAGTAGCCTTTGCTACATAAGATATCAATACAGCACATACACATTTTTTTTCGTTAGAACATATGACTCAAAACAAACCAAAAAAAAAAAAAAAAGATTTATGAAACAAGGGGTAGAAATGTAATAGGAACAGTCCAAACCAAGTACTCAACCGCAAGAAAAACCGGTTAGTAAACCGCCAACGCATAACTGAATTAGAATTAATAGCATGTTTGGCCAAGCTTCTACAATCAGCTTATTTTGAAAAATGCATTTCTCAAAAGTACTTTTTAAAAAAGTGCTTTTGGTTTGAAGCAGTTTGTGTTTGGCTAATTAATTTAAAAAGTATTTTTGAGCAGTAATTAGGGTTTGGCCAAACTTTTGAAAACTGTTTGTAAGTGTATTTTTCTCGAAAGTGCTTTTGGAGAAAAACTATTTTTTTCTGCTTCTCAAAAACTATTTCTGCTTCTCCTCAAAAATACTTTTTTCCCTTCCAAAAGCTTGGCCAAAAATCTAAATTTTTGGCCAAAAATGGTTTTCGCTAAAAGCTGACTTTTGGCCAAAAACAAAAGAGTTTGGCCAAAGGGGCTATAAGTCGGTTTTTCTCTTCCTTAACACAGCCCTATTCGTATCTTCCGCGTATAAATGAAATCCTCCTCTCCTTTATTTAATTCTTGTCTTTCTTTTCTTTACAACAAAAAGTTGATAAAAAGCTTCCAATTCTGAGGTCAGATATTTCTACTTTTTCTCCTTTCTTTGCTCCCCTTTTCTCAGCTTCTTTTTTCTTTCTTTTCTGTCTTCCAAAATATAATGGCACGATAACACTAATCTTAGAGCTTAAGTTACTCCAACTATTTATCTAATTTCACTCTTCTAATTTCTTTGTCTTTAGATGGAGCAACTTAGAGAAGAAGACCAAGTTTCAATGACAATAGAGAATCCAGAAATGTTACTTTCTTCCGATTCTGAAGCCGAGTCTTCTAATCCAAGATTCGAGCATAAGTTCAGGTTAGAGCGAATCCAGAATTTAAACTTTATAATTCCAAGCCATCCCTTCTTAGCTCAAATAATTGTTTTTGACATTTTAGCGAGTTTTTACCTTCATATTGAAAATATTCTACATTCATCACTGCTTCAGGTTGTTCAAGACAAATGGGATGATAAAATTAGAGGAAAATGACAAAGAACATGTTATAATCAAGTCAGGGTTTATTACTTGTATGGGGCCATTGGCAAAAGAAGTTGAAGTTGTAGCCATACACAAAAATTCATGTTCGACTCTATTAGGAAAAGCAAGATTGGAAGCTTTTCGAATTTTCTCTGAAGCAGTGAGGGAAAAATGCAATGGAAATGCCAATATCAAATATGCTTGGTTTGGTTCTTCTAAAGAAGAAATTTGTAACATTATTTCTCATGGATTTTCTACAACTACAGAACCAAAATCTGGAGAATGTTTTGGCATTGGTGTTTATCTTTATCCTGCAAATATTGATGGGTAAGCAATTAATCAAGCATAAAACAATACTCTATTGTTCCACTTTGCGACACCTTTTTTTTATTTAATAGTAACGGTGTCTGGACCAGTTTGTACACGCTTAATCTGTTCCAAACAAAAAGACATTTTGAAATTATTATCTTTAAACTTTTCATTTTAATCATAGAAATATTATTATATTATATGTGTATTATGATAATGTACCAAAAGTCTTTATTTTTATTATAAACTTTGAAGTTTATTCATATGATGCCACATTAAATGAATTAAATGGAGTAGCAAGATCAATCAAGATTGTTTTATATATATATATATATATGTATATATATATATTAGTAAATCGCCTATTCAAACTCATTAAAATTTTAATCAACCTTGGCATAAATTTGAACATTTGAATCATCATTTACTTCAAATATTTTAATTTTTTTATTTTTATTTGGTGAAGGTTATTATCAGCGGTGGAAGATGAGAATGGATTAAGGCACATGTTACTTTGCCGAGTAATCTTAGGGAACACGGAAGAGATTGCGGCTGGCTCCACACAATCTCAGCCGACTTCTGAAGAATTTGACTCTGGGGTTGATAATATTGTGGCTCCTACAACATACACTATTTGGGGTTCCCACATGAATTCTCATATTTTCCCCAACTTTCTTGTCAGTTTCAGGTCTCCTAATTACTTATTAAGTAAGCAATCCAACATTTATACTTTGTTCACAAATCATGTTAATTATTATTTTTTCCTGTTTTTTTTTTGTGGTTTTATTTATCTGATATTGGAAATTATTAGTTTGACTAATTTGAATTCATAAGATAAGCGTACTCTATTAATTTTTGCATTCCCAAAGTAATGAAGCATACGATCAATACTCAAGAGTATTTTTTTTAATTATTTTATTAGGTTCTTCAAAAATTAGGAAGGTCCCATTGAAGCCCACTCCACGTATAAAGTTTCCTGATTTATTGCGAGCGCTTTCCAAGTTTTTACATCCTTCAAGAATGGCTTTGATCTCAAAATACTATGAAGATTTTCAGGTATGTTTTTTTTTAAGTAAGAAATTTATTTTTTTTATTAAAATTCAGGTACTTTTATTATTATTCTGCTTATTAAATAAGTAATAATTGTTGGTAACGTGGTCTCTTTTAATGTATAGAGAAATAAGATCACAAAATTGGTACTCGTTCGGAAGCTGAGGCAAATAGCTGGAGATACGTCATTAAGAGCTGTGATGAAATTGTATCCACACAAGGTACACCTTCAATTCCTACATTTAAACAACTTGGTCCAATTACTAAATATGGAATAAGTCCTGGGGCTTTTATTTAAATTAATTTTCTTATATTTGGAAAGATTACATCGAGATATTTTTTATTTTGCTTTCCTAATTTCATATTTTATAAATTGCCACTATATTTTAATTTGTGTCAATATTGTTCAGTAGGATATCTGAGACAAGAGCTTGTTGCTTCGCTGCAAAGGAATGTGACCATGTTGTCGAAGTTTTCAAGTGTGAAGATTTTTCCAATTTTTTCTAATTACAAGTCTTTATTTGTAAATTGTATACATATTTGGACGACAAAATTATATACGTATTTGATATTCCCTTGCAAAAAATTCATACGAAATGAACTTCTCTCCTTTTGTTTTTCTTGTTTCTTATTTTTAACTGTATGTGCAAAGATGAGAATCGCAATTTATTTACTGATTGAATCCAATTACTCTTCTACGCCAAATCGCCGGCGTCTCCAATCAATCGAGTTTTAGTTGATAAAACTTAACTTAAAAATAAAGGTCAAATGGGGTGGAAAAAACAGAATATTGAGTAAAAATGGCAATTTACCAGATAAACGTGAGCTTTTATGTTCATTCGAAGAAAATTATAAAAAAGAAATGAGACAGTTAATAAAAAGATAGTTGAAGAAATGAAGTAATATATCCAATGTTTTAGTAGCTAACACATTTTATATTCATTGAAGTCTCTAATCAACTAATTAAGGGATGTAGTTAGATGGATGAGATTTCTCAATTCCTAACAAAAAGTCTCGGGTTCGAACTCTAGCAATGAAGAAATTTCTAGTAGGAAGCATTTGTTGCAAAATTTAGCAATGAAGAAATTTCTAGTAGGAAGCATTTGTTGCAAAATTATCAATTGAGTAGGTACCAATGACAAAAAGAAATTTCTGACTCCCCGAATTAATTAGTAACAAAAATGTCACATAAAATGGCAGCATTATTTTGTGATAGCGAATGAAAATAAAGCATAAAGATTCATTCATCTAAACTGTTCCATCTCTTTGTATGATTCAAACCTAAGGAAAAATCTGTGAACATAAGGAGGCCTATATACTAACCCCGCCAAGAGAGGAGGTTGTTCAGATGGCCGGCCCCCCACCTACAATCCCAGAATTGTGGATTCGAGTCATGAAAGAAGCAATAACTCCAACAAAGGGGAAATCAAAAGGGGAAGGGAATAAAAAAAAAAATCTCAACAACTTAGTGCGAAGAAAAAGGGAAACAACTTAAAACTTGCAATAACAAAAAGTTCAATAAACACATCACCAAAAAACTGTTTTAACCAAATGGTTGCATATCACCCAAGGTTAAAAATATTGAAATCTCACACAACCTACAATCTCCTAAATAAAAAGAGAAAAGGGACACAAAAAAAAAACAAGTAACCCAGTAATGTTAAAGAACCAAATAACGCAAGCCTACATTTCAACAACCACATCTCAGATCAACCGAAGAATCAGTTCACTGTCAAGTTGGATGCCTAGGTCGGCGAGAAGCTCTGAATCACCACACTCTTTTCGTCTGAATATTAACCTCTGCTTATGAAATCGAATACCCTCCTTTTCATAAATGGCAGCCTTAACATCTCCAATGGTGTCATCAGACCCTACCATTAGCTCAAGAGCACGTCCTGAATCAACGTTTCTCACAACTATTTGAGTAGCTGGTGCATATCGAAGGATTAAAGTGGAATCCTCCTTAATGATTCCCAGAGCTTGTGCATCCCTCAAAGTTCTTCCAAACTCATTCAAGAGTTTCTGTTTCTTAAAAGGAATACCCTTTTCTTCCTGAATGTACGCTTTAACTGCAGCTATAGTCTCATCTGGCTCAACCATCAGTGCAAAAGTTCTTGAATCTGAACCTGAAGAGCTATTATCTTCAAGGGTATTCAGTACCAAGGACAGATTGTTAACATCTTTGAAGGTGTCATCCTGAACATTGATGTTCATTGTTCGCCTTCGTAAACATGGATCTAAAACAAAACATATACTACTAGTTAAATCATCTATTTTATATAGTCAATTTACTTTTGAACATTCAAAAATATTTGTTCGATTTTTATTAACTTAATTAATCTAATTAAAATTTTCACATGTTAATTATGGTGCTTACCATTTTCTGCGGCCGCTGTTAGTTTTATAGTACAGTTTTCTGGAGCCATTGCCAACTTTGCTTTGATCTCTTGATCTATTTTTCTTCCGTCTTCCCCTTCTACATGAAATGGATAAACCCTTATTTATAGACTAAAGTGTTTTTATGGGGAAAATGAAGCTCAACTAACTACTCATTTAATCGTAATAATTAAGGTGAAACAAATTAAAATCCCAAAGTTGGTTTGACTGGTATCATAATTTCTCCTTATTGAAAGACGGATGCTAAAGTACTTTTACGGGAAAGATAAATCCACCCCAACCCTAAAATAATTATGGAGGCAATTGATAAAAATTAATGAATTGCCTCGTAAAGTGACTCAGGTTTTAATTATGGAGCCAATTTCAACCCTCACTAATTATGATTGTCCATTTAATTCTTCTCAACCTGCTTTATGAATGCATATGATTATCAGTATAAACAAATTTAGCCGTCCATAGATTTTTGCTATTTTTTTCGAACAAAAAAAATTAAATATGATCAGTTTTTTAATTTTTTCAAGTTCTCAAGAACTGGTTCAGGTTATTTTTTGGGTGAAATTTTTTCTTGTACTCAAGAAACTTCAAGTTTTTTCAATAAAATGCATGTCCAACATAACTTCAACATCTAAAAATTATTTTTCAATAGAATTGCAAAAATTCTTTTTTAAAATTTCAACCAAATCTATAACCAAACGCTAACTTAATTTTAACTTCGTGCTTAGTTGGGAGAACCAGTAGTTGAGAAGCAAATAGTTACTGGTTTAATTAGAAAGCCCATAAAGCCTATAAATCATTTCGTCCCAGTTATATCACCTCAAAAGACAAGAATAAACCTAAAAGAAAATTCATTCAACTCTTTCATTGTGAAAAGAAAGAACTGAAATGAAAGAGAATTAGGGCGTGGATTCTATTGATAGGAGTATGAATACATGTGTGTTTGTTCTTGAGGCACTTGGTTTTTTTGGGCAGTTCTATGAGGCCTACACGACCAAGAAAGAGGAAAATTCACATTAATGAATTAAAACACTAATACTTGCTTCAGACTCCCTCATAATCAAATCGAGAGAAAATATTATGTCTTATTTCCATAGCATCACTAATAATTTTGTACTAATTTTAATTTAAGAGTCGAACTGACATTGTTAGTAGTGTCTTATTTCCATAACATCACTATCCATCTTTTATTTTACTAAATAGATAATCAGAGATCCGTAGAAAAGCCTTAATGCTTTGATTCACCGATGTGGGTAGGGATGTTCAAAATCGAACCGTAACCGACAATCCAATTGTAAAATTAGCTTACTGTCTTATTAGTACCGGATTATCAGATTAACGGTTGGTGAACAGATTGAAGTCTTATAGTTAACAATTTATTGATTTGGGTTTTAATTATGGAGCCAATTTCAATCCTCACTAATTATGATTGTCCATTTAATTCTTTTTTTGCCGTGAAAATGGTAATTACAATTAAATTTGATTTTCTGGTTCTAAAAATACGTGATCTATTTTTTTCCTAGTTGTTTAGGCCATAGATGTTAAGTAAGAAATTAGAAAATGAGATAAGAGCTTGAAAACAAGGTGATAACCAAACCAATAGGCTGATAAGCGGGGCCTCGAGCTTGCTTATTCGGGGCCTCGAGGTCGGGTCCTATACCCTGCTACGGGCAGTTGACGGAGGGACTAACAGTTATGATAGATTCAATGACGACTCTTTATGGCCAATAATAAGCAATAAATGAAGAACAATAAATAGAACACAATGAATATAAGCAATAAATGGAAGTAAAGAGATCAAGAGAATATGATAGAGAGCAGAGAAAATGTTCTTGTATATTTAGTATTGAGCAACAGATGTCTACAAAATGACAAGGATCCCCTATATATATGAGGGGGAACATAGTAAAAGTGCATTAATTACAGAGATATGGGGCTGGTACAACTATTTAATGCCCTGATACGGGTCAGAGCTAGCCTGCAAGACTTTGTCAGCTCTAGTCGTGCACCTAGGAAACTTCCCACTATTCTATCATAACTGTCGACTTGCACTATCTCGAGGTCGGACATCGATGGCCCCTCGGGGTAAATCTCGACCTTAGTCTCGAGCCTTTGGAAAGCTTGCTTACGAGGCGTTGTAATGGCCGAAAATTGAACCCTCTAATTTTACCGCATACATTCTTCTCAACCTGCTTTATGAATGCATAAAATTATCAGTATAAACAAATTTAGCCGTCCATAGATTTTGGCTATTTTTTTCAAACAAAAAAAATTAAATATGATCAATTTTTTTATTTTTTTTTCAAGTTCTCGAGAATGGTTTAGGTTAGTTTTTGGGTGAAATTTTTTCTTGTACTCACAAAACTTCAAGTTTTTCAAATAAAATGCATGTCCAAACATAACTTCAACATCTAAAATTTATCTTTCAATAAAATTTCAAATTTTTTTTTTTAAAATTTCAATCAAATCTATATCCAAACACTAACTTAATTTTAACTTCGTGCTTAGTTGGGAGAACCAATAGTTGAGAAGCAAATCGCTATTGGTTTAATTAGAAAGCCTATAAATTATTTCGTCCCAGTTATATCACCTCAAAAGACAAGAATAAACCTAAAAGAAAATTCATTCAACTCTTTCATTGTGAAAAGAAAAAACTGAAATGAAAGAGAATTAGGGCGTGGATTCTATTGATAGGAGTATGAATACATGTGTGTTTGTTCTTGAGGCACTTGGTCTTTTTGGGCAGTTCTATGAGGCCCACACGACCTAGAAAGAGGAAAATTCACATTAATGAATTAACTCACTAACACTTGCTTCAGACTTCCTCATAATCAAATCGAAAATATTACTCTCTCCGTTCCAGTTTATGTGAACCTATTTCCTTTTTGGTCCGCTCCAAAAAGAATAATGCCTTTCTAAATTTGGAAGCAATTTAGCTTAAACTTACAATTCTACCCTTAATGAGAACCTTTTACAACCACACAAATACTCTGAGCCCTTTTTAACTTGTTTAGGACCATAAATTTCAAAAGTCTTCATTTTTTCTTAAGTTCCGTACCTAGTCAAACAGATTCACTGGAATGGAGGGAGTATGTCTTATTTCCATAGCATCACTAATAATTTTGTACTAATTTTAATTTAAGAGCCGTACTGACATTGCTAGTAGTGTCTTATTTCCATAACATCACTAATACTCCATCTTTTATTTTAAAAAATAGATTATCAGAGATCCATAAACAAGCCTTAACGCTTTGATTCATCGGTGTGGGTAGGGATGTTCAAAATCGAACTGTAATCGATAACCCAATTGTAAAATTAGTTTACTGTCTTATTAGTATCGGGTTATCAGATTAACGGTTGGTGAACAGATTGAAGTCTTATAGTTCACAATTTATTGATTCGGGGACGAATTACTCAGTTTTCTTATTATATAAATCGTTAACTTGTTAAGAATTATTAAATTTATATTTCTACTCGTATATATATAAAGTATCTTGTCACGACCCAAACCGATGGGCCGCGACGGGCACCCGGTACCTTACTCAATCGAGTACCAACATAACGTATCTTTCCGTGTCATACTATCATAGATAACTGAGCCGGAAGGCTGCCGTGAGATAAGTAGAATACAACATGTGATACCAACTTATACATAAGACATACGGGCCCATAAGACCAAAATAACCACTTGTACCCTGAACATAGGCCCACAAAGCCATACAATCTTTTACGTACATGACATCTTTCTACAAGCCTCTAAGAATACATAATTTCCATAAAAGGTCGGGATAGAGTCCCGCCATACCAAACAATACACGTCTAAATCATACTAACCAAACAAGCAACTCCGAAGCAAATGGAGCGCACCAAGATCTTTCACTGAGCTGATAGCCTATTTGGAGGGCTCTCGACCTGTCTATCGGGACCTGCGGGCATGAAACGCAGCGTCCCCAGGCAAAAGGGACGTCAGTACAAATAATGTACCGAGTATATAAGGAATGAAAATCAGTAAACAATAGACATGAGAGCAACATGGAGCAAAAGACTCGACATGTAAGTCTGAACAACTCTGTAAATCATGAAATACTGATAGTGTCATGCATATGCGTATGAATGTCATGTCGTGCATAGGTACATGCTTTCATAACATCATCAAGCCTCTGAGGGAATCCCATCATATCATCTCGGCCACGGTGGACAAAATCATCAACGTATACCAGCTGATCAGGTGGTGGTGCGTATATAACGCCATAACCTTTCCCATATCCCATATACATATATATACACGTATATAACGCCATCTGGTCATGAGTCAATGTGCATGTATAAATGCATGAGATGCATATGAAATATGTTAATAAAATCTCTCGGTACGTCATAAGACCATTATGCCTCTAATTAATATTATGAAATAAACTTTACCCACTTATGTATTTTTGAGGCCCATGAACAGATGATAGAATAATATGACACATGGCGAATCAAGAACATAAACATCTCTAGTATTTCTATGAATAGAGTCATTTATGGAAGTTGTGCATTTGCTCGTTTCGTTCGTGCCGTATAGATCGTGCCAAAAGGAAAGAAAAGATAGCCTTAACATACCTGAACCGATTTTCTTAGCCATCTCTCTAACCCACGTCTTTTGCGAAGAACACGTAATGCCAATCGAAAGATCATCCCAGCACAACACTCTTATTTTTGCTGGCTTTACTTATGCTCGATACTAAAAGAGAAAATTTCAACTTCTGTTGCTGTAAAATCAAATGCACCACTATAAATAACTTAAACGCCCTAAAAAGGATTTAATTAGCTAGGTGCTTTCAAGAAACACTTTCATCAATCAATTACAAGTCCAGAGATATTTATTTCTCTTTTGCACAACTTTGGAGGGGATTAAAATGTTTGACCATCTTCTTTTAATCGTAACCAAACAAGACATACATCTCATCCCTCGTTCTTTCATCCCAACGAGGCATATTGTAGGAATTTGAAAGAAATGAATCATGTTGTAGTGTTTGTTAGAAATGAAATGTCTTGTAATTGGCATGTTAGGTTGCCACCTAATTAAAAAGACTTATGAGTCATGAATTATGACTAAGAGTCACTATTAATTCCTCCAATTGCTGCTACATTTTTTTCA